TTTATAAAGTGAAATATTTTGCTTGGGACTAAAAAGTCTTAAAACTGAAATTTTTTTTTTTTTGTATTTTTCTCAGAGTGCTTGTCTGTGCTCATTTGTCATTTTTCTAAATCCATTTTATTCCTTGGGGAGGTGCCTGCCCTTGGGTGAAGGAATATGATACAGGTATGATAGCAGAAAGCCCATTTTTTGCATTCAGCTCTGATCCAGATGTCAGGTATTTTTAAATAAGCAGCCAGTCTTGCTGGTGTGAGAAATCCACACATGTAGTACAAATATTGCGATCAAACCATCAACAAAATATTTTAATGTACAGATGTAATTTGGAAATCCTGTTCTGCTTGTTTTGTATTGTAGGTGGATTGGTGATTCCTGGTGGTACTTATCATACTTGGATGCTTCCTCTTGGGGGTATTCTGACAAGGTGAATAAATAGCTGTTGGTTGAGCCTGCTATTTTCTTACACGCCTTTTCCACTCTTATTCTTGTTAGTTGAGCCCTCAGTCCTTCCTTGGCCCAGCTGCCCATAAGTCTGCTCTGGGTGTTTGACAAGGACCCCTATCCAGGCACACATATTCACTCACTGACAAAGAACAGTTCACTTCCATCCTCAGTCTAGGATGAAAATTAGGGTTCCCTTTCTATAGAGGTTGGATGGAGTGATGGCAAATAACACAATCACTCAAGCTGCTCAGTGACAGAGGACTGTTTCAAAAAGTCCACCTCCTCTATTCCCAAATATGTGGGTTCTTTTTCCCTGTATTGTTCTATTTTGTAAACAGATCACCTTAAGGTAACATATTTAGAGCTAATGTATTTGACCTTGCTCCAGAACAGCTGGAAATAAAAGTGCTCGGACAGGAACACTTTCCAGAAAGAACTGATGAAACTAAAAGTGGAGAGGCAATTTAGGGAACAATTTAGGGCAATTTAGTTCCTTTTGCTGCTCATTTTTAATTGATGCCTCACTGCTAAGGCTGTCTGTGCCATAATTTGGACATGCAGGATCAGAAGACCCAGTAAGAGCAAGTGCTGGGGCCAGGCTGGACAAAATGTGCATTGACAAATGGTACAGGAATTACCTGATTCCCTCTTCCACCAGCAAGGAATCGGTGAAATAGCATCATGCTCTGTCTGCATTCCGTGTCACTCATTTCTCATGAGAGGGGCACACAAGCCACTTTCAGTAACATTCATGAAAGTATTTCTCTGTGGAGGAGGAATTTTCCACATCTACAAGTCACTTTAAGCAATGCTCTAAGATTGCTGAGAAGCTACCAGATTGATGCCTGTATCTGTTATATTGCATTGACAGCAAAATAAGAACTTACTAATGTATCTTTTTTAAACAGCTATTCAAACTTGGCAATGTTCAGAAAATTGTCCTAGCAGAAGGTATTGCTTTAGGAAAGGTAAGAAAAGGAGAGCAAATACAAACTGAGTTTTGAAGTCTGATAAAGTGACCTTTGTTCTTTGAGTTCTTGTGGCCATCACTAACATTTTTGGCTATTTTGTAGAAATTTGACAATGTGATGATACATGAAACAACAACTTTTTCTTCTCCTCCTCCTCCTCTTTCTTCTTCTTCTTCTTCTCCTCCCTCTTCTTCTTCTTCTTTCTTCTTTCTTCTTCTCCTTCTCCTCGTTCTTCTCATTATTAAATGGAGAAACTGTTTCTGACAAGGCAGGAAAAGCACTGTCATTTCACCACATCTATACTTACTGCATTGGCATATTCAGTGTTCTCCCATTTCTGTCAATTAACCATGATTTATATTCAAAAAGCTGCAAAATCAGTTATGTCCACAATGTTTGCTTTCTATTGGTAATTGAGAGCTCAAGTTTACATACTCTGGGAGATAGATGTCAAAGACGTCAGAAACTTATAGTTTCTGTAGAAATGTCCACTTTGGAAACACTGAAGTCTAAACTTGAAATTGACAACCACTGATACATAATTTTAAGAAAGAGTATATGTAGGCAAAAATGGGTTTGTTTAATAAGATCGGAATTCACGAGATGAAAAAAAAAATCAGCCTAAAAAACCTCACTGTCATCCTGTGGTCTGTGTTAGATACTGAATTAAATTTTTTGATATGAACAACAGCAAGAGGATGTTAAAAGTTGGAATAACGTTATGCTCTGATTAAATTAACAATTAAGCATGGAAAAGCACACACCTGTGGGCAGGACTGTAAATAGCTGTCTAAAGCGATAATCTCTCTCAAAGTCTTCTGTTTTGGTATAGGTTGAGACTAGTCATATAAATGTTAATAGATTAAATTCAGCAGGGGAGAAGTCATTGTGTGGGCAAGGCGCATGCTGACACTTACCTGCAATTTAATTATACAGTGACCCTTTGGGTCAGCAGACACCATTTAAAGTCCCAGTTGCAGGTTAAGCAGCAAAATAATAGTGCTGTGAGTATAGAACAAATGAGATAAGCTTCATACAGACTGCAAGGAACTGAGAAAACATCATTGTTCTTATATTAATATGGAAGATGACTCTGTGGTTTTATCTTCCTGACTTTTTCATAGACTTGGTTCATTTGTGATGCTTTTAAAGTCTATCTGTTATGTCAATGTCCCCAAAGGATTGTTTTCATAGGAAAGAAACCAAATTCAGTTCTTTAGTCAGCTATCTAACTTATCAGTTGGTAAAAGCCACGATTAAAAATAGCATGATATCAAAAGCTGCTGTTACATGTGTGCTACCCGTAGTCTGGCTAGAGCCAGATATCTAATCTTTTTACTAAAGTAGACTGTTAGGTGGCATAAATGGTAGAATTTTGAACAATTCTGTGAAGTTCATGTACAAAAGAAATGCTAATTACAGCTCAAACTAATTGGGTCATGAGATCTGTATTAGAATGTAGCTAAGACTACACTGAGTGGAGAGATTTGGGTGACTAAATACCACAAGCTGCATAGCTGAACATCCCAGCTTCTAAATGAAATAACATGTATGACTTACACAAAACAAATGCTGTAAATGAAGCCATGGAAAACAATGAAGAAACTATCTAGCCAATAACTTTATTATTATATCAGTATTATATCATAAAAGCATAGACCTTTTTAAGTGAAATTTATTAAGGCACATATTTAATATGATTTTTCCAGCTCTAAGTCAGCTAAAAGCTGAAGATATCTGCATCTAAAATGAAGCCTGAAAATTAGGCAATGCTGCTCTTTTGTATGTTGGGCACTCTATTGTTCTCGTTGACTTAGAGAAGAAACACTGCTCTAATTCAAGGACTTCGAATATTTCTTTTCTAGTTGATGTTCATCTCGCAATCTGCCCAAAAAGGACTGCTGTTTTGTGTCTGGAAGAGAAGGATAATAGTTTTTTTATACATTAATGATTATTTAGTGTTTGAAAAACTGCCTCTCTTCAGAGCCCTTCTAATGGATTAGGTGTGGAGGTACTTGTATCACTTAGAAGTGTGGTGCTGGGTATAAGCCCTACAAAGCTGAGACAGGTGCCTGCCTTCTTGATGAGCTCCATCAGATCTGGGCTCCTAGAGTGCCTTCACAGAAACTGTTTGATGGGTATAAAACCTAAGAGAGTTGATAGAAAATACCAAAGGCAGAGAAGCATGCCTGAAACTCTGGTCCCCCACTCAACCTCATGGTCATGATTGTAGGTGGAAAAGTCTGAAAATAAAATGTATACCACCAAACTCACCTCTTCTGCTTTGGCTACAGTCACTAGCACTACTGACTCAGGATGTGAGAGAAGAGTTGTCCCTTGTGTGAGGAGAACTGTTTCTATCAGGGATTCATAGGTTTTTGCAGAGCAGATGGGGTTGCTCAGGTTTGGTCAGAAACACAGTTTAGATGGGTTTGATCCAAATCAAGTCCGACTGTCAGACCAGAAAAGCAAACGTGAGCACAAATGCTCAGATTTCGTCATGGTATGGGTGTGGTAAGAAATATTGAATTAAAAATTTCTGCAGAAATAGTTAACTGTATTTTGTTTGCCCCTTCTCTTTCTTCAGTTGTCATGAACAAAAATGCCTGACCAGTGTGACTAATGTGCATTTCCTAATTTCAGTTTTGTAGCATAAAAAGAGAAATGTCACATAAGCATCTTTCTTAAATTGGATCTTTTTATCAATAACTATCATTCAAGGGTTTTGATGGTTTTGTTCCGATGAAAAAAAGGAAACAAAAATCTAATTTGTCCTTTAGTACAGAGAAGAGGGAAAAAGACAAAGAAATGCACACGGTGTTCTGAGAAACTAGAATGCCATGTGGACAAAACAAATAAAACTACGTTCCTTTCAGAAAGGGTTTAGAGAAAAAAAAAAGTTTATATGTCTTGCATGTATTTTTAAACACCAAAAAAAGTTTACACTTCTAGACAAAGAAGTCTAGAATTTCAGCTTTGAGAAAACTCACTTTAGCAGTGGACTGAGCAAGAGCAAAGGCCGCATGAGGCAAACAGAAGCTGCAGAGGAAACACAAGTTTAGTCTGATGCACTCTAATGCCGTTTTCTCTCCAGAGGTATGCTAGCAACTTTTAGGTTAAAGACAATTGTGATTACTGGATCTATCTACACTGCTATTTTTAACTGGAATGAAACTTGCACAGATGATGCTACAGATGTTTAATTTTACTGATATTGAACCTGTTTCATTAATATGCATGTTGACTGAATAACTAACTATGAACCTTCTTAAATGTGCTTCTAATCACATCAGCGTTAAATATTAACTGGAAACCTGACTCTATCATTCCATCATATTCTCTTTTTCCCAGCTTATCATTACATGTGCTTCAATAGAAGCAGTTATTTTTGCTGATAATTTCATTTATCATAAATAAACATATTTCTCATGATTGTTATTTACTTAGCTGAATGTTGCAGTACTTACAGCATGCAACTAGGTGAAAACAATGTTCAATGGAGGACAGGTTTGGGAGTGCAGCTTCTAGTAAAAATTTTACCTTGAGGATTTTGTGCTATCTTTTCTTTCTCTTTTTCATTTTCAGGGAATATTTGTCCTAGGATTGCCATATGCTCTTCTCCACAGTGGATACAGTGGCCTACTTCTTATTGTCTTGGCTGCAGCATTATGCTGTTACACAGGCAAAATTCTGATCGTTTGTTTGTATGAAGAAAATGAAGATGGGCAACTGGTAAGAGTGAGAGACACGTATGAAGATATTGCAAATGCCTGCTGCAAAAAGCTATCTCCCAAAGTAGGGGGCATAGTTGTCAATGTGACTCAAGTGGTGGAACTGATCATGACATGTATTTTGTACCTGGTTGTTAGTGGGAACTTGCTGTCACACAGTTTTCCATATGTAGCACTGACTGAGAAAACTTGGTCTGTAATTGCATTTGTTACTCTGTTACCTTGTGTATTTATCAGAACTCTCAAAATTGTTTCCAAACTCAGCCAGCTTTGCTCCTTGGTTCACTTTGTTATCATCCTTGTAGTGATGACTTACTGTCTGACACAAATACACCAGTGGTCCTGGGCAAAATTCAGACTCTCCATTGACTTTGAGGACTTCTTGGTCTCCATAGGAGTGATCATTTTCAGTTACACTTCACAAATATTTCTTCCCACACTTGAAGGTAACATGAAAAACCCGGGGGAATTTAGGTGTATGCTGAATTGGACTCACTTTTTTGCCTGTATCTTGAAAACAACCTTTGCACTGACTGCTTTTTTGACCTGGGGTGAAGAAACAAAGGAAGTTATTACAGACAACCTGCCATCATTTCTTAAAACACTAGTGAATTTATGTCTCTTAACTAAGGCTCTTCTTTCTTACCCTTTGCCCTTTTTTGCAGCCACAGAAATTGTGTATTCTTCTATTTCTAAAGGCAACCATTCCAATTACAGATCTCCAGTACTTTCTCTGGGTGTAAGAGGCTCATTTCTCTTGTTAACTCTGCTGATGGCCATGTTTACGCCACATTTTGCCCTGTTGATGGGTTTATCAGGCAGTGTAACAGGTGCTGCTATGACTTTCCTCCTTCCCTCTCTCTTCCATTTAAAACTTAAGTGGAAAAACCTGTCCTTCTTAGAGAAATGTGCAGATATCTCTGTTTTTATTTTGGGCTTCCTTTGTAGCCTTGCAGGCATAGTTTGCTCAATAAAAGGGCTGCTTGAAGTATTTGGAGGAATGTAAAAGATTTCCTGAAAGACAAATAAAGATCAAATCTTATAAATGCTTTTTACTCTGTCAGTATATAAGAGATTTTGTCACTAGCTAGAATTAAACATATGCCTAAAGATTTGCAGAATCAAGGCTTCAAGGCTTGAAAAAATATATGGCTCTAAGCAAACTGAAAAATAACCTTCAAAGCCAAAAACTACAAAACTAGTTCTTTTTAAAATCTTGAGAAGAAAGAAGATGTTGGAGATAATTTAGTGTGAAAATAATTTTAAAGTAATCCTATACGGTTTCATTCATACATGACAAGCACATCCTAAAATTACTGCTGCAACTGATCCCACCAGTTTAACCAGAATTCTTGATAGGGTTACATACTGTTCAGCCTCAAAGCTATCAAAACTAGCTTACAGGAAGTGAGTTAGAGAGAACTATTATTGCAAATGGGTGAAATATGATTTCACATTACTGTCAGAGAGCAATTCAACATGTGAACAGAACAAATCAGTGAATTTTGTTTTATATGTAAGACAAATTCTACTACCTGTTTTTTAAACGAATAGGCAAAAAGAGAGCTCAGTTTAGAACAGCTTTGAAAGCCTGCTTTTATCATGAGTTCAAATGGGAATGCAGTCAGAGTAAAAGGGGCGTTCTAACAGCTCAAAGTCATGGAAAAGAGAACTTGTTCTGAAATAAGCTATAGCCAGTGACTGTAGCATTTCTGCAAGTGTAACTCCCAAGATTCATAACTCTGCAATGCAGTTATTCAATTGGTTGGGTTACAAGAAGTCTCGCTGGTAACATGAAAAGGTTAACATGCAGTTCACTTTCCTTCTTTGGCAGGAAATTTCTTTGATCTGGTATTTTATCTGATTCTATTAAAAGCTCAATGAAGTAATTCAAGTTCAATAAACAGTAACACATTTAACTTCTTTTACAATTTGGTAGATCTTTAGATTTAAAATATATTGGCTTAATAAAAAGATCAAAATTGCAATGCATTTTACATTAATGATAAAACATTATGACAAGAAGCAACCCAATCAGAGTGCTCTAATGAGCACATATCATCTTATTGCACTAAATCTGTTATATTAGGCAATTATAGTATTAATTTGGAAGAAGAAAGTGTGCATTTTTGTTATGAATAATTTCATACGACTTTCTACTGTGTCATGTGGAAAACTCTTTGCATGTCAACATAAGATTGGATGATAAACAGCTTAGGATTAACTGCTTAACTAAACTATCTTGCTATGCAGTATCTTAGTATTAATGCTTCTGTCCTGTGTGAGCAACAGTTTCCTCTCAAAGCTAATTTGCTGAATGATGAATAACATTCAATTAAACAAAACAGAGGAGTTCTGAAAAGCCTTGTATGTCACGTTGTTCCCTCCTTGTCTGCTAATGTATACTTGTCATTTGGAATAGTGACAAAAAGTTTATTAAATGAGACGAATTGCCTAATCATAATATTATGAAGAAAACTGTGGAAGTAACTAGTCTATTAGAATTTTATTACTTCTTCTGTAAAATGTGTCAAATCTGCATTCAAATCCACAACAAATTTATTGATATTAAAAATTGTGCTAGAGCAAATAGGAGGTATGCATTTCTAAGGAGACTTTTTATTTTTATGTAAAATGTCAAAAATACATTACTCATTGAAATGGTTGAAAGCTTATTATTACTGCTATGATGCTGTCAGAAGGATATTGTTACTTGGATGATATTAATCAAAGGGTATCATTACTTTTTGTGTGGTGAAGCTTCATAGATAGACAAACATGCAGGGACACTATTTGTTCTATTTATCCTGTATAAACCTCTGAGGACAGAGGGAGGTTGTCCAAGGAGTTTTGTAAAAATTCTTTCAGTTACTTTGCTTAAAAATTTCCACAAAAAAAAAAAGAAAAAAAAAAAAAAGGCATCATTTTCCCCATCTCCTACTTTTATTAAATGTGTTTTGTTGCTAACTCTTCAAAAAAATTTGGGATTACCTCAGTGCATTTGCTGATGAGAAAAGATTGAAAATGGGAAAAGCAATTTATTTGTATGGCAGTTTGGGGAATTTCTGTCTCATCAGTGTGATTCAAAACTGGCTTTAGCTGGACTTTCTTCTCTCAGACTTTTCAAGAAGATCATGCCAATTCCTTTCAAGTCAAAGATGGCCATTCACCACTTAAACATGATCTCTTACTTATGTAAGATCTTTCCAACATGGGTAAATTATTTCTGTTTCATAAGATATGTACTATTTTTTCCTTATTTAATCACTTATATAATTTATGTTAACACCAGGGAACAGCAAGGGCTACGATTAACAAGTAGACACAACTGTAAATGCACAAAAGAGAAAGTCATCCAAGTGCAAGGCCTCTAGAAGTCACAGAGGCCACTAGGTTAAGAGAGAAAACATAGTTTTAGATTCCCTTGTTATGACCAGTATTTGGCAATTTTGAAGAGTACCATTGCTTGTGGAACACAAAAGCTGTATGAGCTTCCCTTTAAAGCTACAGCCAGATATCTTGATGAGAAACTGTCTTTTGGGGTCAAGATTAAATGAAGCTCTCAGCTTGGAAAGGAAGAGATACACAGATCAAGCACGAAAGTGGTGCTCAGCACACTACAAAGAGAAAAATAAATATTCATGATGTAAGGCTAACTCACTGGATTTCATTTCCTAAAACACACAATTGCATATTTTTAGATAAAAACTTATTTCTGAACATGTTCCAATGGCAAAATTCTATTACAAATATACATAAAATATTAGTAACTTTTTACATTAGACATATATTACCACCAATAGAATATGTTCAGAACATCTGGAAAGGTAGTATTACTAGCAATTATGAACCAGGAAGAACTGCATTTATCTATGTAGTGTCTATTAGGAATTTTTGTCACTAAATTTATACTACCAATCATTGGAATCATTGAAGATAGGAAAGTAAAAGACTGATTAAACATTAGCTATTATTTTGGGCCACTCCTTGATTATTCATTGTAATATGATGGTGCTTTATCAAAATTAATTCTGAAAGCAAACAACCAACAGTAGTAAACATGAAGAAAATGCTAAGTAACAAATTTTGTGTTGAAATAAAGCATTTTCTAACAGTCTTGCTTCATTTGTTTTGCCAGTAGAAGTATGAGTAAAGGAACCTGTTTCCTTTCAGCAACAGTAACACAGGCACCACCCAAAATGCTTCTCCCATTTTGTAGGAATTGCTGTGTCAATATCAAACCATGCATTCCTACTTCTAACAGTAGTCATGCAGATTTAAGTGAATCAGATAACTCTAAAATAAAAATATTGACTCAGCTAAGGCATCTGAGGAACTTCAAGTGTTTATTTACAAAGTCTTTTCAAAGCTTAAGTCTGAAATTAAAATGATAACCTCACTCCCACTGACTCAGTGGGAATATAATCATTTGCTTCAGTGTACCAAGGCTCTAACATCTATGGTCCATTAACAATACTTAGTTTACTTCAAAGATTGGTCATCACTTTACTTCATCACTGTATTATTTCTTTTCCATGTTACTCCATCTTTTCTCTTTTTCCAGCAGTGAGATGTTTTTCCTCCCAAGACTACTAAAATGTTACAGAGATGTCAGAAGAGCTATTGAAACTCTTGAGGCTAACACTATTTTATTTACTTTTCATCCTTGATTGCTCACTTTATTTTTATTTTGTGAATTTTGAACTGCATGTACAAAATCCACTTCACAGAAACTGGTTATTCTGAAAATATGATTGTATAAAAATAGAACAAATAAGATATCCTGCAAATGTTTCATTAAATCAAGTCACAATTTTCATATTTCTTTTCAGAACTACAACAATTTAAAAACTGAGAGCTGATTTATAGAAATAATTTATCCATTTCTTCTGCATTATTATTAATTATCTGGATGATATATTGGTCTTGGAAAATATTCATCTTCCAAAATCGAGTTGAAAAGGAAATATATCTCAAAAATATTTTGATAGTATGCTGAGATTTAGTTGTCTCTAGAGCTCATATGGGAAATAAAATGTTGGAAAATTTATCGTGTTCTTTAGCAGCTGGCGATGAATTTCAAAATACACAGTCTAAAATCCACTTAAATATTTTGTCCACAGCTTAAGTGTTTGTCAAGCTGTTGCCACTTTGAAGTTAGCTGTTCTTCATTCTTGCATGATGTCATTACCTTTTTATGTGGTCACCCCTCAAACTTTTAATATATATTTGTCTTTACACTGCCTCTTTGAGGGACAGAAGTTCTAAAATCTTCATTTTACGGTTTTGAAACCAATAGTCAGAACAGAGACGAACCCAAAAGGGAATTCCAAGGAATGTCTTGATTAATAGTTGTCATTATTATTACCATGCCTTCATGGTGATACTGACAGTCAACACTTCTTTTTTTTTTTTTTTTCTCTCACTCATCCTTCATTTTATCTCCTTTGTCAGTTTGTGCCAGGATAACGTGAAGGTATATAACACAGCAAGCAGCCCATAATGCAACAATAATATTTAACTGAAAGCTGCCTCTTTTAAGACAAAAATTATAAAGTTATTCAGGAAAATTAAATATCTAAATAATTATATAAAGAGGGACACAGCAAGTGATACAAAAGAAAAAAGGCACATGGGAGACAAATTATAGACAGAGTAAACACAACATAGAAGGTAAAAGGGGAGGTGAGGGAAAAAATGTATTGACTGGAAGAGGAAAACTGAAAACTGGCAATAAGTTGAGAACAACTAAAAAAGGAAAAGAAAGATCACAGAAGGGAAAACGCTTAGAAGGAGAGAAGGGGAAGGCAAAGTCGGGGGAATCATCTGATGTGTGAGTAATATCATCTGTAAATATTTTCTACAATTTCGAACAAGCAGTAATTCAAGCTTTTCTAGTTAATGAGAGTCAATATATTCTGTGTGTGAACAGTTTTAATTTCTTTCTCTTCCTCAAACTTCTTATGAATTCACATCATTCTAATTTGTCTGGAATTACCTCTATGT